ATGTTTCGAAACATACCATCGTCTGAGCTGGGTGACCGTGAGACTGCGCTTCGATCAGGAGCAGATACAGCGACAACACTGACATCGTCCTCTGTTATGGCAGTTAGCTGGGCTAGAGACATCTGGCAGGGCAACACTTGAGGGGTGAAACCAAAGTTAAGGAGCGGAAGTAACACACAGTTATCCGCTATGGTCGCGATGGTATAGGGCACAGTAACACTGCGCGTCAGCCGAACGTCAGTAATTGGCGTAACAATATAATCACCGTCAGGAACGGGAGGGGTCGATGACAAAGACACGTACGTGACGGCTCGAGGTGGCAGGCGAACGAAAGTGGTTGGACTCAAGCGGCTGGTGGGCTTTGCAGAGTAGTCGGCAAAGATTGGTAGATCAAGGCTGAGGGTACCAGACGAACAATCAATTAAGGCCGAGTGTGCCGAAAGGAAATCAAGGCCAAGTAAGAGGTCATGAGGGCAGCAGGCTAGCACGGCAAAAAGGACCACGGCGTGACGACTGGCAATGCTGACACGAGCAGTGCACATTCCAATTACTGGTACAGTACCGCCATCGGCAACACGTATTGCCTGCGTCGTAGATGGCACCATAATCTTTTGTAAGCGGTAGCGTAGAGAAGCGCTCATAATAGACAGGTGCGCACCTGTGTCAATGAGGGCGGTCACAGGAACATGGTCAACTTCTACTTCAAGCAGGCTATGGTGCGTGGGAAGCGTCAGTAGAGGATTTTCGGTCGTCATTGGTATTGCAGCTTCACCTCTATAAGCTGCAATATCTAGTTTTCCTGCTGCGGTCGTCCAGAGAAGCTCGGCGAGGAAAAGCACCGAGGAGAGCGAGATTGGCGACGTAGCGGCGACGGGGAGCGAGAGCTGCGGCGACCGGACGAAGGGTCGTCAGGGTAGCGGCGACCGGGCAAAGGGGCGTCAGTGGAAGGCTCGTAAGATGACGACGAATAGAAATTGAAGGGTGTGGCGTCTGAACGTCGAGGGCTCGTCGGATGCATGAGCGCCGAGGTAGAGAAAGTCTGACGTGGTTGGTTTGACCAACGGCGGCGGCAATAGCGAGAAACGTGCCCAGGCTGGTGGCAGGAAAAACAAATAGGTCGGTCGTCGGGTGTTCGCCATTCAGAAGGGTTACGGAAGGGCATTGTTAGAGGTGAACGGCGAGCGTGTTCTTGGGAGTAGGACGGGACTTCAGGGCGAGTCAGGGGACATGCTGAGGGAAGTCCGAGGTTCGCAAACTCCTGCCTCACCACAGCTTGTATTAACGCCACTGACGGCTGTTGTTGGTCAGAGGCGAGCGTTGCGAAAACGGGTGGCTGAAGAGGAGCCGGACAGGCGGCTTCGATTTCCCGACGAACAATACGTGTGACGTTGTCATACGTGGGGGACTGGCGGGCGGCTTCACACGATGAGGTCGCGGCCGTGTTGGGCAGCCGGGTGAATCGCTGAGTAATACGGCGGCTCTTGGCTTCTTCGAACCGCCGGCACTCTTTAATGATGGCGTCGACAGTGGCAACGTTGTTGTAAACTAGTAGATTAAATGCGTCGTCTGCTATGCCTTTCAGCACATGGGCCACTTTCTCCGACTCACTCATGTGTTCGTCAATCTGGCGGCATAGGGCGATGATGTCGTGAATGTACGCGACGTACGACTCCGTCGACGTCTGTGCATGGGCCGCCAGTTGATTCCGCGCTGCGATCTGCCGCCCAATGGTGTCGCCAAAAAGGTCGCGGATCTTTTCTTTAAAGGAGTCCCAGCTCGTAATCTCCGCTTCGTGCGTCTCGAACCACACGCGCGGTGGGCCATTGAGGTAAAAAAGCACATTGGCAAGCATAAGAGTCAGGTCCCACCTATAGCTTGCGCTGACCCGTTCGTACCGGTTTATCCATTTGTCGACGTCAACGCCATCCTGACCGGAAAATACACCGGGATCACGAGCAGGAGGTAGGACGTATGTAGAAGTCACGGTAGGGGCAGGTGGCGAAGACGATGGTTGTTCAACCTGTGACATGGTTGGACCTATGATGATGTGGCCATTGCGGAACTTCGTGATGAAGACGGGGAAGTACCCAGCACGTCCACCACAAAGATGTTACGTAAAAATGACACGAGGTGTGTCTATTTAAAATCTATATTCAAAATGATGCGTATGGCGTCGACTAAGATGGAAGCGGCACGCGCAACCGACAAACCACTTCCTCGTTGTCGTCTTTTCACCGCTGATACGTCAGCTACGTAGCAATATGTTCTATTGAACAGATGTTTCGTTTAGTGAGAAATGAACAGGGGTGAAAAATTCAAGCACAAAACCTAGTGTATTAGAGCCAATTGTCCTATTCAAGCAGCAATTCCATTTACAAATTTTCATTTACTGAGTTTACTGTACTTGGTAATTGTACTAAGTTGTTGTACTGTACTTGGTTGTCTGGACTTGTTGGTTGTTGTGGTAAAAAAACGCTGCCCTGGAGAGTGTGCGTCATGCATTGACGTAGAAAATCGGTGTGCGGGGCCGATTTAGTATTTCAAGGTGCGCGGGAATCATCATGATGGTGATAGCGGTAAAACTATGAGCGCGCCTATGCGCGTGCGCGTACCACGTGAAAAGCTCCCGAGCCACGGGGACAGCTCGGCTAACCCCAGAGAGCAGAGAGCAAGGACGAGTTCTGACCGTCCGTGTCCGGGCCTCGTCCCGGCGTTGAAGTCCTCGGGTGCGTCCTGGACTGGGCATCGCCCCACCTCGCCCCCACGTTGGTCTGAAGCGGCGTTCAGTCACGGCCAGCTGCTGTTCTGGTCTCGGAGCGAGACGCTGTCTCAGGTCTGTTCGCGGCAGTCGGCGATACGCTGTTCTCGGTGGTGTACAGGCAAGCCCAGGCGTTGACCACCGTACTGGGATGCCCCTGGCGGTTATCTTCTAGACCGGGCCCCGCCTCGGTACGAACTCCGCAAGCACAAGGAACACCGCCCCACGCCCCCCGACTACCAGAGAGCTCAAGGTCAAGCGCAACGTTCACGCCCCAAGAGTAGAATGTGAGTGGACGAACAAGAACATTAACTCCCTTTCGCGTAGGACCGTGAACGCGTGTATATATGTGTGAGTTTATGTTGTGTGTATCCCTTTGTCCGTCTTCGTGTATATAAAAGTCTCTCGTTGTCCTCGAACGTCCTCTGTCCTCATCTGGCTAACCTGCGCCCACAGTTGCCCACAAATTTTTGGCGAGCCTGCCAGGATACGTAGTCCAAAGCACGCGACATCTTTCGGTTGTCTCGAAGTTCATTTGCCTCCGCATGGTACGGAGTACCATGTTTGGGCTCACAGCGTTCCTACCTCCACTACTACTCTTGAAGTTCCGGCCCCTCTTGCTCGAATTATGGTCATCTTCTGGCTCTGTTTTAGGGTTTTTCAATGCCACTCGCTTTTCGTTGGGCTCCGAAGCCATAGTCTCAGATGCGCATGACGTGCTCTTTGTATGGCCGAGAGGTTTCAGCTGACCACTGCAGAGGCCATGCTGCTCTATACTTCCGTCACCTTCAATGCCATCGCATGTCTGCTTAACACATTCACTAGCAGACCGTGTACCCAGAGCTACATCACCACGTACTCCAACACACTTTTTTGGGTGTACCTGACAGATTTGTGTCAAGATCATGAATAACTATGCCATCCTTGCGAGGATTGACTTGGTCCTCTTCATTTACCTCCTTAAGCACTGCCTTATTTGCAATCTCTCGGATTACCGAGATAGCTGTGCTGATTTCAGACAACAGCTTCTCCCCTTCCTGTCGCAAATGCACACGCTCATTGTCATTTTTGCACATGTACCGCAGTTCAAAATCAATTCTCTTATGTTCCTCATCAAGGTCTTCTTGCAACATTCGCTCTAAGTCGGCGCAAGACCACCCGACCTCCTCTCCAATACAAAGCAGTCTTTGCACGTTTACAGGCATCCTGTGTGCGACCAATTTTCGCCTGAAAGGTGTTGAGTGCCGATCCTGGCAAGGCCCATGTCCGTTTCGATCGCGTGCAATTTCTCTAAATCCATCGGTTCGTCCCGCCCGTCTGGCTCTCGGCAAGAAGGTAAGGCCGATCTATCCCGGCAGGCTCGCCAAAAATTTGTGGGCAACTGTGGGCGCAGGTTAGCCAGATGAGGACAGAGGGCGTTCGAGGACAACGAGAGACTTTTATATACACGAAGACGGACAAAGGGATACACACAACATAAACTCACACATATATACACGCGTTCACGGTCCTACGCGAAAGGGAGTTAATGTTCTTGTTCGTCCACTCACATTCTACTCTTGGGGCGTGAACGTTGCGCTTGACCTTGAGCTCTCTGGTAGTCAGGGGGCGTGGGGCGGTGTTCCTTGTGCTTGCGGAGTTCGTACCGAGGCGGGGCCCGGTCTAGAAGATAACCACCAGGGGCATCCCAGTACGGTGGTCAACGCCTGGGCTTGCCTGTACACCACCGAGAACAGCGTATCGCCGACTGCCGCGAACAGACCTGGGACAGCGTCTCGCTCCGAGACCAGAACAACAGCTGGCCGTGACGAACGCCGCTTCAGACCAACGTGGGGGCGAGGTGGGGCGATGCCCAGTCCAGGACGCACCCGAAAACTTCAACGCCGGGACGAGGCCCGGACACGGAGGGTCAGAACGAGCAGCTGGGGCGTGGCCCGAACTTGTCCTTGCTCTCTGGGGTTAGCCGAGCTGTCCCCGTGGCTCGGGAGCTTTTCACGTGGTACGCGCACGAGCACGCGCATAAGCGCGCTCATAGTTTTACCGCTATCACCATCATGATGATTCCCGCCCACCTTGAAATACTAAATCGGCCCCGCACACCAATTTTCTACGTCAATGCATGACGCACACTCTCCAGGGCAGCGTTTTTTTACCACAGCTGTTGTACTACTGTACTGAGTCGACTATTGTACTTGGTTGGTCAGACCTACTACACGAGTAGTAGGCCTGACTAACTACTCACATGGTACTGGGAATAACCATCATTTGTGCGAGGACCATGGGCTGCAGGTGCACTGTGGTCATCCTCACTTGGTGGTGTTGGACACCCGTGTGCCTGCATATAATTTCAAAAATACGTCAGCGATGAATTGTAAATTACTTCGTTGGCACACGAAATTCCAAGCACACTGAACAATCACACAGTGCGTGTTGCGTTCAACAGAGGACCGATTATTTGGCCTGCATGTGCTGTGATGAGCTGTGATCTACTAAATACCAAGAATTTCCAGGAGGCAACAAAAGCTGTCAGGCTTTGATAGTAAGACTGGGTTTAACGTCCCAAAACCACACTATGATTATGAGAGACGCCGTAGTGGATGGCTCCAAAAATTTCAACCACCTCAGGTTCTTTAACGTGCACCCAAATCTGACCACACAAGCCTACAGCATTCTCGCCTCCATCGAAAATGCAGCCGCCGCAGATGGGATTCGATCCCACGACGTACGGTTCAGCAGCCAAATACCTTAGCCACTATACCACCACGGCAAGGCTGTTCTTTACTATTAGCCCCGAGAACGAACACTGGCGTCTCTGCAGTCACGGTGAAGTGACGTCACGGCATGGACTACCCTGCTCCAATGCATGCCGACCGTCACTTCTTTCCTAGCATGCCGTATACCCGCTCTTCAGCGATACGGTGGCTATTTCTTCTCAATTTCAAGTAGTACATTACTAAAGGTACAAAGTAAAGGTACTTATTGATGTTAAAAGTTAGCTAACCTGCAGAAAGTGTGGATCCACTTTGAAAATGAAGGTGCAAGACAGCGAAGCATTAGTTGTTTTCCCCATGCGCATACCCGATGAAATCAATGCTAAGAAAATAATCATGCTATATGGGTCTGACTTCATTATAACTTGGCATAGACTACGCGATTAAAAATTTGTGTCGAAGTACTACAAATGAAATTAGGATGTTTTCAGTTTACTCACAGCGTTGTGATTTACTGTGCAAGTTATGTCTGCCTTTCCAAATAATGTACGTCATTTGACAAAATGCCAATTTGGGATGGAGGAGAGTTTATCTCAATCTGTCAGTCATACACAATCACTTATAATAGCGAGGAAAAAAAAGTAACGCTGCTACTTACACAATGGTTTCTGGAATTCTGAGCTGTTGGTTTACTTGAATCTCATGCACAGATTTCTTCTCAACAGTTCTCAGGATTATGCAGTCGCATACCATGGTTTACGCGAACAGCTGACTCCATCTACCACCACGTCATAAATGGTGATGTTCAATTGATGTAGGAGCACTGCTGATAGCAATCGTTTGCAAAACAAACGCCAGAAAGTAGAAGTGAATTGTTTCGATGCTGCACTCCGCTTCATAACGTGGCCCACGTGATTATGAAACATCGTTTGCCTCAATGAAGCAACCATCGGTCTCGCACGTCATGTTTATATACAGATTGAGGCTGCTCTGGGGTAATCGACCGTAGAAAAATTTTATTTATCAGGTGGCTGTCTAGACTGGTACTTACAAGCGTGACAGCTCAGTTGCTAGGATGTTGCACATAGACACTACCTGAAACCAGTAGCAGTTCTGCAACTAACCTCAACTTGTTTTTCTAGTGAAACAGGGAGCCGAAATTATTCCCAAAAACATGAAGCTAAATAAGGTGATGAAATGTGAGCAACTACACGCAAGAAAATCTAACTCAACAGCTGTGGCAGTATTCTCAGGCGAGTGCATTCGAGATATTTTGCGACACTCGATACTAACTTAAGCACATATTCACAGAAAAAAAAAACGCTGCCAGCAGTTACTCTAATTCGTGCGATACAAATACCAATTCTGGATGCAAAACAATCACATCTTTTTAAAGTAATCACCCGTGAAGAACACAACCTGAAATGCAAGTACACTGTCGTTTACATTTTGAAAGCGCGACAAGATTGTGAGGCACGCAACAGAGTAATTGTGGTCACCTCACATTTTTTAACCTGCTGCACATGCATTGTCTTGCTGTTCAACCCGGTCAGAGTGCGGTTGCCGTGGCTGAAAATAGAACCTGTCTTTGAAGTAAGCAGCGCGACACCATAACAAATCTCATCAAAGCGTGTACACTGGAGCGCAGGCACTATTGGCAATTTTACTGAAAAAAAATTTTTAGTTTTTCATTGTTTTACCATGAACATCAACGATGCTGTTTTCATGAGTTATTTTAAGCGTGATACAAGCAAAAAGTGAACGCTGGCAGCGCAACGGTGTCCGAAGCGAGTGCGTGTTACGTATACGCACACAACAGCAAGATTCAATGAGTCTGTGCCGTGACGTGATGCAAGCCTCCCACCGGCGACATCACTGCAACTTCTCGGGGCTAATCCCTTTACAAGTAGCTATAACGCAGTTCAGGCTGAGAGAGAAATTATTGAAAGCAAGCATGTCCCGCACTCTCAACACTTCATTTAACGTATATAGAAAGCAACACTACGAAGAATTCGGACAAGCAGAAATTACTTCTACTAAATGCCCACTTCACGTTTTTCTTTGTTTTGTTTTCATACAAAAATAAAAAACACGCCTTACGGCCCTATAGCATTTGTGGCTTCAGGTAAACGGAAGTGTAAGCATGAGCAGAAACTAAGTCTAACAGGCTACTTCCATCTTATCGTCACATACATTAGTGACATTGCATTGTGAACCAATGCTACATGTTTGTTTTTCCTCACTACAAAGCCAAGTGTCATAACCACTGGGCTAAACATCTACACTTGCAGAATGTGAATACTTTTGAACCATATGACTGCACTATATAGTTATAGTAGTAGAACACAAACTTTAAAAAAAGCACTTTTTTCTAAAGCTTTGCTCAAATATTTTGCTGGAGAGGAATACAGGCACCTTAAGGACAACATGCCAACCCAACATGGATCATCAAACACACAAGGAATGCCGATTGCATATGAGGGCTTACAGAAGAACCACTGCACCATTCCACAGTGGGTGCAACTTTCCAGGGTAGTGGCTAAGATCATGTCAGTGCGAGCCACTTATGAGTGTGTGCTCACACACCCTGCAAAGTTGTTTTCATCTCATAGTGCGAGCACATCTTACGGCAGAGTTAGCACACCCGCAGCCATGGCATATCGCGGTTCATGCAGTGGCAATGTCCTGGCAGCGAAAGATTATACAGGCACACGGGAAAGAGAACTCGCTCGCTTTTTGGAGCTTAGCGCAGCCATGTTTGGTCGTATTTCGTGGAAAATATACTCTACTGTGTCATTTGCCATTTCACTGCAGTTATTTGTAAGCTTTGGCTGGCATGATCACTGTTACGTAAAAGCTAATAATGAATATCCACGTTCTTGTTGCCCTACAGTGTGTACCGAGTCCATTTCTTCTATGAGCAGCTCTTGAGATCCCACAATAACAAAGCACAGCTACAGTCATGCATGTGATTGAAAACACCTTAACCATATAAATTCGTGTACAAGAACGTGACACGCAGGTAGCAAATACTTCATGCGAGCTATGGTTGTGATTGAATCCCTCGTGTGAGCGCGATACCTCAAACAGCACTTCCATCAGCAGGGAGTCATGAATATCCACATCAACATTACCGAAAGAAAAAATTTTCATAAACTCATTGGTGGCACGAAGCTAAAGGAAACGCATTTAGATTTCTCAAAAGAAAAAAATTCATCCTGGTCCAAAGTAACGCTGCACGCTTCTAGAGAACAAATTCGCTATTTGAAGCATTGAGTTTATTCCAACCTCAGATGAACATGACCCGAGCTGCAGCATGTGATTTTTAGGCTAACATGATGCACAGTGAGCAACACTTGTGGCTTTGAAAGGCCTCCCACTAGGTTCAAGCATTGCAGGAATGATTGTGAATCATGGGTCATACAGTCCCAATCACGTCTGCGAAATACGAAATGACTACGTGTTGTGAAAATGTGAGAAATGTGGACATACTAAACAGAAGGATGTCTACCCTTTTTTTTTTTTTTGGAAGCCGTGCTTTGAGTAAGACTCAGAACACACTGCTTACAATGGCACTGGCCACGGCGCATAAGTTTAGTTTATCATCGGACATGTAATTTTCAGTGCCATCACTTGTGGGCGCGCTGAGTGTCTGTGAGTGCTTGTAGAAGACGACGACGATCGCGGGCAACTCATGTCACGTGGGCAGCGGCCTCAGGAAGTTGCAATCGGGTGTCAGCAGAGTTAGTAAAGATGGCTATAGTCTGTCTCAGTACTTCACTGAGGGGTTTTGGGCTAGCTGCAGCTCAAAACCTCTTTTTTATCGCTCAAATTTTGCTTAATTTAGGTAAATGCATTTGTTTAAAAACACAGATTGGTATGCCTCGAGACAAGAATATTGCAGAATAAAGAGTCTCCCTGCATCCAATATACCTAGATTTCACAATTAAACACTTCCTGTAAAAGCAAATTATGAGAATTTTTTTTATTGTGAACGTGCACAGCCAGAGAGCCCCCCCCCCCCCCCCCTCCCAAGTCTTCGCATCTACTGCCAGCTATGCATAAAATAGATCATGATTACACTTCACACATTTTCATTGTTATGACATCTGACAGTACAATAAGATACATAATAATCTTATGCCTTTCTTTGAGGTATCCACTCCTGGTTTTCAGGTCTTTCGTAGAGACGAAAGACTGACACTTATTACACAAGGCTAATGTAAATTACTTCATAAATTCCCACAAGTGTTTTCACAAAGAGAAGCACTGCAGTGCAGAGTGCCAGTTCAAAAAGCATAGGCTACAGGATACAGTGTTATTCAGAAACTACCAAAACATAGTGAAACTCATTCTCTAATGTCAAGGGCCCAGGTAAGGTGGGTAGCAAGAACAAAAGGCTCACAACTCTGTCCACAGCAGCCCCAGAGTACTGTAAACTCACTCTAGTGGATAGCCATATTGTTACATTCTGCTTCATACATCAAAAAGAAAGCCACCACACATGGCGATGCAAAACTGAGAAGAAAAAAAAAAGAAAACTATGGGCAGCCGAGGCGATTACGTGAGGATCCTGCGAAGAAAAGTTTTTTCTGTTGTTTCAACGTCGCACGATTTCAGCTTAACAATACTGGGCATTTTACTCACATTTTCTCGCTTGGCCATTTCAGTCTGTCGCTGCCGTGCAATTCTTCCTTCTGACGGGAGTAATTCCGAGAGGTACACCTCTTCTTCGTTGCCATATCCAAAATAACGGATAACACACGTGTCATGGTCCACTGACTTCACTCTAGCCTCGTAGCACACTCCGTCAACCGAGTATGTACACCGGCAGAAGTCTCCAACTTTCCATTCCTACAATGTAAACGGCAAGAAGAACATCCATAAATACTCTAACAAAACAGAAGCTGTTCTCAGTACACCAGAAAAGTGGCTGTATTTTAAGCGCAGAGAGATAGCAAGGCAACATGAGGTCAAGCCACAAGTCAGTGCTGGAAGCAAGCCTCAGGATATACACATATATGCCTTGATCAAGTGATACTGCCACAAAGATCCACAGCAGCAAATACCCACAACGTGTAAGGAACATGTGTTATACAAGAATGCATATTTGACTTCCATGAAGCAATGAATCATCTAATCACATTGTGACAAGAGTAATTCAAGCAATGTATGAGTAATGTAGTCCGCACAAGATTCAGGTATACGAATAACTATAATTATTTGTATTCTCATATGCCTACTGTCACATGTGTTTAATGGATACTACAGATGAGACAGTAAATAGACAACTAATGGTTTCCGAGTGTTAACTGCTGATACCTTCGACAACCTCGAAACATTGCAAGGCAATGTATAAGTTGAAAAACCTGGTCATCCTTTCAAAACGGCATTTGATTAATTGATTGATATGTGGGGTTTAACGTCCCAAAACCACTATATGCAACGGCATTTGTAGGAAGGCCACAGTGCTAATACACGACTTAAAGACACAAAAAAGTGTCTTGTGAAAGGTGAAGAATAGAAGTTTTTCAGGTATCAAACGAGACATGAAAGAACGTTTCCCTTTTAATATACTTTAGAAGTTGCGCGTGAACCAGCAAAGCGATGAAAGCGATAACTAAAGTAACGGCGTGTGCCCCAGCGAAAAAGAATTCGACTGTATGTGCCCACTTCAGTAACGTTATTCATCAACAGTGCATGCAGTCGAGTGCTCATAAAACGATCGTACCCGTGCTTTCTGCTGAGTATGGTGACCGTCGGTTCTCTTGTTTCCTTTTTTCTTCTGTTGTTTGTGGGGGCCCGATCCCGAAGATGACGACGGCTGTTTGCCTGCTCCTATACCATTCTGAAACGAAATTCACTCATGGAGAAGTGCGCTCGCACAACGTACTTCTTCTGTCGACAGACAAATAACTGGAAATACCTCATTTGTTGAGACTGCGCGGTTGTACGCCTTGATCAACGCTTCGTCATCAAACACATCATCGCTTTTATCATCCTGCAATGAATAACCATGCCATCGTTAGAGCACACACAGTACGCGGCGAACACCGCACGCTCTGCAAAGACCTTGCACAACTCTCCCTTCGCGGACACGTACTTCGGACACCTTGTACACTACGTCGTTGTCTCCCGCAGCCATTGCTCGTAAACAAAGTTCAGAAATCAAAATCAGAAAGATGAAAACAAGCAGGAAGCAAGCAGGTGACACATACGCCTGTCAGTACAGCGCGACCGTAACCACAACTTAAGCTTACGCACAAACACCACTCGGACGACAGTGTGCCCGACGCGTGATGCGCTTGTCGATAGCGATGGCTGGAAGCTCACGGCAATGCCCACAGCGAACGCCTCCTAGATTTCTTGTGCCTGCCGAATGAGCGCGAAACGCTGGTCATCTATAGCGGCGCTGCCTACATAGGGGTAAAAGCCTTTGTACTTGGCCTTTGAGATTAGCAAATGTGGCATTTGCTACTAATTTCAAAGGATGCCTTGTATTAAAAAAGTTGCTTGCTGAATGACGGCGTAACTTACGTAGGGTTAATTATAATTTTGTTTACGCTTTTGTAAAACTTTTTACGTTACTTTTGTTGCATATAAGCTCTAAAAACGCAAAAACCTATTTGAAGACACCCCCTACTTGAGTGACGCCAATACCGTAGTTCAGAACACCGCCGCTTCCCAAGTGACCGCCGACCATCCGGCAGACACAGGAAGCCTAGGAGGCGTTGCCACAGCAGTGAACATCTGTCACGGGCCACATGGTCGCAGCACTCGCGCATGTACCCTGTAGCCGGGCGTTAATTAATGTTGTTTTCCGACAATACCCGTTTTAAAATCGGAGCATTTCTTAGCGAACTTGGGCGACTTTGAGCGTATCTATCAATCTAGCCGCCAACGACTTTTAACTTTCCTGGCCGTTTCGATAGTGGTATCGATACCAAACTTGGTATGGTAAAACATGACTGTATGAAGAACATATTTGACTAGTCATAACATGGAAATTATGACATGTATGCATGAATGTCATGATTTACAATTCTTTGTCCTGCTGCTCTTGCGGTGGTTTCGTTCACATGACATGTTGCGAAACTTTTATGGTATGATATGATTGCATGGCGAACACAAGCGACAGACCCTAACATGAAAATCATAATATGCGTGTTTTGTAACAACATGACTACATGCCATGCTCTTGATGCGCTGGCGGCTGTTTCGCTAGGTTAACTTATAACAAATTTGTTACTACGGAATGCGAATGGATGACGAAGGTATGATACTGGTGCAAACGTGATAAACATATGAGATGCGTGTCATGTAACAGCATGACTGCATGCTACACTCATGATGCGCTCGCGGCCATTTCGCTAGTTTCACATGTACCAAACTCGGTATTACACGACGCGAACGGACGACAAAAAGAAGTGACACATCCAAACATGATAATGACGACATCGTGTCATGTAACAACATGATTACATGCCACACTGATAATGCGCTCGCGGCCGTTTCGCTAGCTTTACATATGCCAAATTTCGTATTACGTGACGTCAATGGATGATGAAGGTATGTGACTGGGGCAAATAGGATAGTCATGAGATGCGTGTCATGTGAGAACATGACTACAAGCCACAGTCAAGGCACCAATACATTTCGACGTGACGTGGTGCGCGTGCTTACCGGCGTTCATTTCGTCGCGTCACGCCGGCGTTGCCTCGCCAGGTGCCGGTCCTGCCATATACTCGCAGGCGCGCATTGCGTTGCTTCGACGCATGCGCGTTTCGACGCACACGGCGTCCCTCCGTCACGAAAAGAGATAGACGCAGTGTTGTCTGCGTAACGCATCAGCGCGAAATGCAGCATGTCGCATTTTATGTGACGAAACCTTATACATAAGTAGATTTCGACCACTTTCTTTGCGTGGAGTATAAAAGTGTGTGTCCATAGCTTCACATGCACAAAAGAATGTGCTCATAGAAAAAAAGAGGTATGTATGTATGTGGAAAAGCTGCCGTGAGCCCCCCACCCCCCACCCTACTCTCAGAGAAGTAGTAGTAGTAGTAGTAATAGACTTTTATTCAGCCAAATTTACAGGCCGAGCATTTCGACCGCCTGTGCGATCAGTCGACGCTGTTCTTCATCCCCTTCGGCGCCGATCCAGTCGAGCCAGGAGGTGATGGAAAGGGATGGGGGAGGGTAATAGCTGGATTGCTGAGCAGTTGGACAGTAAAACAGGCAGTGTGACAGGTCAGCGTATGGGGAGGGACAATTAGGACAGCAGGGGTTAGACCTATATTTATAAAGGAAAAGGCGAGAGGGGGTTATCAAGCAGTTCATTTGGATGTGCCGTAGAGTTCGAGCCTCGAGCGCCGTGAGTGATGAATGAGGGGGAGGGTAAAGACGCTTGTCGAGCCGGAGCTGGAGATATACCTCCTTGATAGTGTGACGCAAGGAGATCTGCCCATCGTTATTCGCGGAGCTCTCACTGTCTTCCGAAGGTGTGGGCCAGGGAATGAACGGTGCCCGGTGCAATATATCGCGGGCAAGCTGATGAGCTAGCTCATTGCCGTTAATAGAATGCCCAGGAACCCAGCGGAGGAAGACAGTGGAGGGTTGAAGAGCAGAGGCCGCTCGCTCGACCTCCTGTTGAAGAGCAGGGGGCAACGTGTTGTTCTGTATGTGACGGATGGCGGCGTGAGAGTCGCAGTAAATCGTGTACTCGGGGAGAGAAGGGAGGGAGGAAAATGACTGCATGGCGTGGACCATGGAAAGGACCTCGAGCGAAAGTACATTTGGCGGGTGTAAGTATGGCCCGCTGGTGTGCGTGTCAGGTGCCGAAAGGTGTGGATAGTAGATAACGTAGCCACACGAGCCCCGAGGAGCCATGTATGAGGCATCTGTGTAGGCAACTCCCTGTGTAGAGAAAGGAGGAGAATGATGCTGCGCTGCCGCATGACGCCGGCCGGCGTGAAGAACGGGAGACATATTGGATGGGAGGGGAAGGATGCGAAGGTTAGAAGCAGCGGTGCTAGCGGCAGAAGGCAAGGTGGGAACGGAAACGGGAATGTGAGGGATACCAGCTTGGGCTAATAGTCATTGGCCTTGACGAGTGAGAGAAAGACGGGCAATCTGAGAGTCGTGGTGCAGAGAAATAAGAGAACGTAATGGATGGAAGAGGCCTGTGGCAAAAAGCTTAGTGGTAGAGGTAGTGAGAGGGAGGTTTAGAGCTGCCTTGTAGAGGCCTAATAGAGCTCTTTCGAGTGTGTTGAGTTGCGTTTCGGTGAAATGAACGTAGGGTACAAAGTACAAGAACTTGTTAAGGGCAAGCGCATGTGCAACCCGGCACGCATGAGCCTCGTGGAGCCCCGACTGCCGAGTGACAACGCGTCGCAGGAGGTGGGTCACCGAATGGCAAGTCCTCACAGCGTGATGTAGGGCCTGCGCGTTCTTTGTCGTGTGCAAAGGGAAGCCAAGAACTTTGCATTGCTGAACAGTGGGGATGAGAGAGCTAGAAAGATGTAGGGAGATGAGGGTATTGTGGGAGCGCTGGTACGCAGACCGGTTTAGCAAAAGTAGTTCACATTTCTCCGGTGCAGGGGACAGGCCAGCAGTAGCGAGAAAGGAAGCGATAAGGTCCAGGCTACGTTGCAAAGTATCCTGCACGTGGCCGGGACATCCAGACGTACACCAGAGAGTGATGTCGTCTGCATAAAAAATATGGTGGAGGTCAGGTATTTGGGACAGTTGGGAGGCAAGGGGGGCCATAGCCATATTAAATAGAGTAGGAGATAGTACGGCACCTTGAGGAGTGCCGCGGGTGAGGGAGTGTGGGTTAGACAAATGAGTATCGACTCTGAAGCGAGCAACTCGATTGGAAAGAAATGATCGGATGTAAGAATACATGCGGGAGCCACATGACAGGGAGGAGAGCTGAGCGAGTATGTGGTCATGACTCACGCCATCGAATGCCTTTCGTACATCGACGGTTACAAGCGCATGGATCTGACTACGAGAAGGTGAAAGAAAAGTATGCTGAAGAACAAGGAACATGTCCTGCGCACAAACGTGGCGTCGGAAGCCAATAAGAGAAGGAGGGAAAAACTCTTTCGCCTCAATAAAATCAGACAGTCGAGTCAAGGCCATTCGTTCAAGAGTCTTGCCAACGCATGACGTCAAAGAGATAGGGCGAAGGTTAGAGAGAGATGGAGGTTTGCCGGGCTTCGGTATCATGCAAATTAGAGATGATGTCCAAGAGCGTGGAAGACAGCCGCTGTTCCATGCTTCGTTGAATGTGTGTAAGAGAAATTCCTTCGCGTTGTCGGGGAGATTACGTAATGTAGTATATGTTATCTCATCCTCACCGGGTGCCGAGCGGGTAGATTGAGTGGCTAAGGCAGCTTCCAGCTCCCTGAGCGTGAATGGGCAGTCCAGGTCTGGGTTAGCTTCGCCACAGTAATCTGGGTAGGAAGGTGTGAGGGGGGGTGGGAGATACAGAGATTTTAAATTTTCAAACACATCAGATGGAGTTCCTTGAGTGAGAGCTTTAGCTAGGGTGGGAGCAACGGCAGGCTTGGTACCTAAGAGAGACCTAAACAGAGACCATGTAGAGCGCGAGTGCAGTGCGGAGTCAAGGCCGTCACACAGCGTGTTCCAACGAGAGTGCTCGAGAGAAGTGCCGTAAGCGATAATTTCAGCCCGCAGAGCATCAATTCGGAAGGAAAGTTGGAAGTTGTGTGGCTGCGAGCGGAGAGCGCGTTTCAAACGTTTATGACGTCGCCATAATCGGAGGAAGTGAGGATCAGGGTCAAGAATGGGGAGTTGAAAACGAGCGCGGCGACTACAGGATGTCATTGCTGCGGAGATCCGCGACGTCCAGTCGTCGTAAGTTTTAAATGAGTGAGACAAAAGGTTATTACGGAATGCTTCCCAGTCAGTGTGAGCGACTCGTTGTTTCCGCCTATTGTGGGAAAGAGGGGTGGTGATGTGTATGAGAAAGTGATCACTGAAAAAATTTTCAGCAGAGACCTGCCAGTGAAAAGGAAGGGAACTCCGAGAGAACGTGAGATCGGGTGTAGTGGAACGCTGTGAAACAGTGCCCGCTCGAGTAGGGGTGTCAGGAGTATTAAGAAGGGTGAGATGGCGTTCCTGGGCGAGGCAGTGTAGAAGGCGACCTGGTTTGAGTGTTTGGGGGTAACCCCAGAGCCTATGAGGAGCATTAAAGTCACCCCCAAGGAGGATATGGGTGGTCGATGGAAGGGAGTGCAGGAATTTGCCAAGAGCACTAAACAAAGAGGA